CCCGCTTGACGATCAATTCAATAAATATCCGGCGCGCGCGATATATTCGCACACAGATCATGTAATTTCGATAAACGATAGACGAGTGTATAGCGAATAACAAGACTTTAGTTTTAACCCTTTCGCCGCGCGAAAGACTTACAACGGTCGTAAAGCGCACCGTGTAAGGCAGCGAACTTTATAACAGCGACACTACGAACGGCACATATATAACTTCTCGCCAACTCGTTGTACCCGAAGGAGCACGTGAAATTTATTGAAACGCTGAATTGTCTTACAATTGAGAAGAAAATTTTGATCAATAGTTGTATGTGTATGTGTGTGTGTGTATGTTCGACGGTGTTGGTTGAGCGTCTAAAAACGCCATTAGACGCATCTGACGCATCTCCGATCTTATGTTAGTTAGACGCTTACGAGCGTAATCTTTACCGTGTGTGTCGAAGTGTTAACGGATCAAGAACTTTTTGATTTAAATAATTACATACACACAAAGTGAAAGACAACTGAAGCAAATTCAAACAAAGAGCTTTTTTCTCAAATCTGTGTTGTTGCAAAAAAAAAAAACAATAAACTGCAATCTTTTGTAATTCTTTCTATTTTTCAAAGAAATAACCTTCAAGTCGAGATACTGCGTGCGTACGGATGATGTATTTCTATTTCCAGATCTTACTTGTTCACGGTTCGTTGAATCGAACAGTTATATCTCGAACGTGTTCCGCTACGTTCTGGAGGAAGAACAGTACTTTCGTTAAATATACATCTTATTAAAGTAGCAGTTCGACAGAGATACATAAATGTGTATTATCGATAGAATTTCGCCTATCTTTGTGCATAAGTTTCAACGAGAAAAACATATCTCCGGATTTTCCAAACTTTTCCTCGTCACGCTCTCGGTGCGACTATTATTAATACTCTTTCACAATCTCATTTTGATTGAAATGTAAATTGATAAAACTTTGCTCGCACAAGAGAGAGAGAGAAAAAAAGAGAAAAAAAGAATTAATAGAACTTTTGATTGTGACACAAAGTCGAAATTTATACGGATTTAAATTTTTTAACTCTATGTTATATCGATAGAGCATTGCAGTAATGTTTGATTGAAAAGAGCGCCATTTAATGATTATCGGTAAAATATTTTTATCATCGATATATACATATACGTTTTCAAGTCCTCTTACGTGTATTTTTACACATCTGTGTATCCTACAAATTTTCTGTCTTATATTTTGCGACGGCTGATGATAAGCTCGCGTCGCTGTTTTCGTGTGACGATACACAGCGTGTAAGTACGATCTCGTCTAGAAAATATTAGAAAATTCCCATGCATAGAAAATGTGAGAAAATATCTACAATTTATTTTACACGTTCACATATGCAGCAGGTGTGTCACGCTGACATTTTCTCGCGACACCGTTTCGTTTCAAGTGCTAAGCTTTTTTTCACATCGACAGAAATATGTATCGCCTAATTGTAAGTTTTCTTGCCACTTATACAAAAAACGTGATATATATAATTTTTCTCTCTCTCTCTCTCTCTCTCTCTCTTTTTTGCGTATATATAAAAATTCATGTATTATATAATAATATTTAAAAGTCAACTTATTAAGAACTTAAGTATGTTTTTTTTATCAAGTTTCTGTTGAAATACAAATTCGTGATGTTGCCATTAACAAGAGTTTCGCTTCAAACATGATTTCTTCAAAGCTCTACGTGATATTTCAATATTTTAGAAACGTTCGCGAAAACGCGTCTAGCGTGACATCGCAAACACAACAATGATATTACAATAATAAATTTAGAGATATTTTCAGTGAGGAAAGAGAAGCGAGATGTGCGCTGTGCATTTTGTGTGTAATACGTTTTATCCATTGTGTATTATCCGCGTATCCATTATTGAAATTACTCCAATCGCAAACACGTTTATAAGTGTTAGTCTCGCACATATATTTTGCAATACACACATGTTGTTTTTTTTTTTATTTTTTTTTATTGATTTTATGTAATTAAACAAAATGTAATAGAAAGAGATTTTCGTATCGTGTATCCAACATATAAAAAACATTTATCACGATTTCAGAAATATTACAGATACGTATTTTCGATGTTTCGTCGATTTTTGGTTACGCGTCTAATAAATATATTTTCAAAAAAAAAAAAAACCCACGCAGAATTAGTTGCAGATATAATCCGCGACTTTTTCTGTCTAAGATGCGAACACAAGTAAAGTTTGCGCATCGAAGATATTTCTTTCACACGCGGACGCGTTATACATTTTCGTCGAGTTTAGATATTCGAATTGCTAATTTTGCGCGTCATAAAGCAACAAGCATCATAATCGTCGCAATTTGCATTACTCCGCACGTTTGTGTATCATTGCTATGCGGATGTTACATATCGCGTTCCGGGCAGTCGGCGCCGCTTTTAGAAAGCTTCTGTTGCACTTGCTTCTCGCCACATTAGCGCGCTTCTCGCGCGCTTCTCGCGCGGCCTATCGTATTATATTTGTTAGTTCCCCGAGCAAGCGGCCACACAGATTTAGAACTTGCTTGGGACCTGGCCAACACGTGACGTGACTCCAGATTACTAGAATTTGAAGTATTCCCGACGTGTAATTGCGACGTAACGCCCCGACGTATAAACTTACATAATACGTTTGAAAATTTATATAAAGACATCATTGAGAAATCGCGAACTACTCCTGCGACTGCGTCTATCCGAAAAGTATCTATTATTTCAAAAGTATTTTGTGTCGCGTCGCATACGCGACTTTCACGCAATCGCGCCGTGTCTTTCGCGTCTGAAGAAACTTTACCTCTCGCATCTTGAAACGTTGCGGTTATACATGCAACCTTTCCCCATAAACGCATCAACGACACGCGATAATGTACCGCGCGCATATAGTTCCAAATTGTTTCGTGCAAACGAAAATTACGGAACTAACGTCGCAAAATGGCGCTAAGTGATTTTCAGGATGTCGTTTATATGCAAAAGATACGCATCAACGACGAGACCGGCCCGCGACGATTTATGTATACATTTTTTTCGCACGAGATAACATCTATGTATGCATCGTATAATAGCGTAGATAAGCGTAAATTTATTCTCCACGGATATATTTTTAAAGAGTCCGCTCATCGCGCGCGCGCGCGCGAGCGCGGGCTCGCCATACGATATATATTGATGCATCCAGAGCTCACGTTCTCTTCATATCGCTATTTTTAAATTTTGATCAGTTTTTTTTATCTCATGTTCATGCAAAACCTTATATTTTCGATGTAAATAAATAAGTTATTTCAGCAACACGTGTGTTTATAATAACAGAGTCGTGCGTAAATAAACAACAAATTATGCGAGGAATTTAGTTGTAACGTTATAGAGGGATGCGGCTCGATACATACATATATATATATATATATATATAATATATATATGTATATATTATTATTATATTATACGCGAAATTCGTGATGTCAATCTCCGCGCATAGATGTAACGAGCACGCGTGCACACTTTCAAGAAATCCGTGTGAAAATAGTGCTCGCTGCCTCGCTTGTTTTTTTATATTTCTCTTTGTCTCTCTCTTTCTATCTTTCTCTTTTGCAGTATTGAAATTCGCGGCAAAGCGTGATCGGGGACAGTCTCTTTTTTTTTCACTCGATACGGGAGTTTGATTACAAACGCTGCGGCGGTGCAGAGCATGTACGCGTGTATCGAGTAACGGGGACGCTTGCACGTGTGTGTGTGTGTGTGTGTACGATGTATATGCGTGCGGCTTGAATTTTTTCCGCAACCCCTCAAGATGTGCGGATACCGAGGGAGTCCGTGTTTCTTTCCCTTTCATCTGATTTTTCAATGGCCGTGCACACATCCGGAGGCTAGTGTGTGCCGCGGGTTATTATTCCACGGTCTTGAACACGCGAAGAACTCCGCGTCTTCGTGCGCGTTTACGTTATGCGAGCTGCAGCGCGCGCGCGCCTGCTGCATTCGTGCAACATTAAAATCTCGTTTCGCCGAATCACAGGTGAGACAGTCGGACGCACGCGCAGACACCGCGCTTTTTTTTTTTCACCGGAGAAATTATACCTCTCGCATATAAAAGCGTTTTCTCTAGATTTCCGCTCTCTGAGCATTATTGTTTTCCCGCGAGCCGCGCCGCGGTTCGTTTCCTTCCGTCGGGTTTTTTTTTTTTTTTTTTTTTTTTTTTCAAGTCTTCAGAGAGACATTAAGGAGCTGTTAGTTTATTGTACATTTTTCGTTGCGGCCACAAGTATAATATATACGTATAAGAAAGAGCAATTCTTGGCAAGATCATCTTTCAGTCGTACCGCTAAAGAAAAATGCTAAATGCGAATTAGTAATAGACGTCGTTGTGTTATTTCATTATCAAACGTACATATATATATATCAAAGTATATTTGTAGATGCGTGTCATGGCAGTTTTTAGCCTTCGGCGATCGAAACCGTGTCGCTCGGAGTGACTAAGAACTACCAAGAAAGCTCTGCTTCGCGAAACAGCGTCGTAACCAGCGTTTGCATCCGTTTATTTATGGATGATAAAATAAAACTTATAAGCGCGGTAAGTTCGGTAGATCTCGCGACACACAGGGACACTTTATTCTCGACATTGCGACATATATACGTTGTCTTTATTATCAAGTAACATTGAGACGACAATTGGTTTAATTTTTTTTTTTTTTTTTTTTGATTTTATAATTATTTTGTTTTAATATTTTAAGATGACTTGATCTACATTTTTTGCTTCTTCTCTCTTCTTCTTTTTTTTTCTCTTAAATTCATTTCTTTCGCATTTTCTTTGCCATTATAGATCTATTAAATTTATGCTTGCATAGATCCGCCATTAGTGCACCTCGGTTTCAACGTAGCACCTGTCGCGCGCTCGATGTTGCACGTAGTAGTTCACGCAGAAGTGGTAACGATAATCCGGGACTTATTCGGAGGATTAATTCCGCGGGTGGAAGCTTCGGAGTTTGGTGAACTTACCTTCGGCACCACGTAGAACGACCGATCCTACGGCGAGAAACAGGAAGACGGCCGCGATGAGCGCTCGCATTTCGCGTGGGAAATCCTGTCTTCGGTGCATGATCGAGCGGGGATCTTTCTATCTTGAGATTACCGAAATATGCCGTCGAGAACGGTTCTCGAAAACTTTCCTCTAGTGCATCACATTTATCAAGAACACCGAAACGGCAGCTGATGATGTTCACCAAATTATGCCACAGTATCCACAATTATCCACGATCGAACCGACGAAATCGGCGGTAAACTCACTTCGTTATCGGCGCGCGATCGCGATCGCGTTTCGCTCCTTGCACTCCGAAATTTTGTCCGAAGCGATCGTATGCGTACAGAAAGATATAACGCGCGCGTTTTTACCGAATTTTTGACGATTAAAACGACGGCGCGTGTAAAGCACAAATTTAAAAGTATATTTACGTTGTTTCTCGAGAAAAGAAGATTCGCGTTAGCGAGTTTCACCGAAAGAAAAGACCAAGTTCGAAAAGAGAAAGAAAGAAAGAACGTGAAAAGAATGAGGAATGAAGACACGTGCGCGTTCGATAAGAGACACGGTGAATCCTTCGGCGATTTCAGGGCGTCAACAGCCAAAGAAATTTTTAACGAACGATCTCGGCGAGAATTCCGCGACGATGGATCATCGTGATTCGCGCGCTAAATGCGATCGCGCGATCGCCTTTGACGAGATCCCTCTCGTGTGCGAAAGAGGGCGGAAAGAGGGTGACGCGACGACGAAGAGCTGGCGGGAGCGTGGTAACAACCGAGTTAGAGCCAGAGTCGCGAGCGACTGACTAGACGACCCGTTTCGAGGCCGAGGTGGAAGCGAATCGTACGCTTACCCGAAACTAAACGATTCGCGGCCGTCGGCGCGACGCGCACCTGTCGTTCCGTAGGTCGCTGCGCATGTCCCTAGCTGAGAGAAGCCGGCAACCGACTGCCAGAGGAGCTCGTTCGTCCGTGAGGGGAGTTAAGCGGGTGGCTGCAGGTGGCAGAAAGACGGTGGCGAGGCGCGAGGAAACGTCGATGGGGGATGATTGTCTGCGGCCTGACGTGGTAGGCTGGTTCGAGAGAAAAGGAGAAAAAACGGAGAGAGAGAGAGAGAGAGTGAGAGAGAGAAAAGAGTCGGTTACGACTTGCAGAAACTGAAGGTGCTGCTCCGTAGATGCCACATTAAGATTTTACGTGAATGCGCTTCCAAGTTTTCCTGCTTCTCTTCTTTCTATCCCTCTCTCTTTTTTTTCTCTCTCTCTCTCTCTTTCTCTTGCTCGCTCGCTCGAGCGATTGAAACCGCAAGTCTACGTCGAGGTAGGTCGGGTTCGTTAATGAGGAACGAAAATCATACAGAGAAGTGCGCGGTACGAATGTTGCAGGCTGAAAACGACGAAATTATAACACATTCAACGATTCCTGTAAGATTATGTATTATTCTATTTTTAACCTAGTTCATGCGTGATAACGGTGAAAAAAATATTTATTTTTGATATTATTTAAAAATATAAAAAAAACTATCGATGACCTCCTTTTCAAGTGTCAAATTTTTTTCTCATTCTCAATAGTTTAGTCTCCTAATTGATTTTAATTAATGTCGAGTCAGACTCGATTTTGTAGTCGACGTTCGACTACAAAGGGTTGAGATTTCGAAAAACAAAAATAACTTTGAAACAAAAACATTTCTCGCGGCNTATTTGTCTTTTTGATATCGTGTAAAATTCAAATTTTCTATATATAAAGTATTTTTTCGTATCATCACAACTACGNAATAAATGAAGACTTTAGAATCAGAGAAGAGAAATGGCGATGAAAAAGCTTTGAGAGCATCGCGCGAGTAGACAGTGCTTGAAAAAGAAGTTTAAATAGGTATCAATATCCTGGGGGTGCTTATTTAAAAAATATTGTTGTCTTTCGTTGCAAGCTGTATTTTTTCAATGATTGTTGACAGTACGCTACTCTCCGAAACAAACCTTGTTTTTAGAACTTTTGGTGACTTGTAATAAAAAATCTTAATAAAAAATCTTATCAAAAAGTATGCAAATAAACTTCGAGTTTGCTCGAAAGATAAGAAACTTTTTTTTTCGGAACCGCGAATAATTCTCGATAGATAGGCATTCGTATTTTATAAGTGGCTTTGTGTTTGAGACTTATATAATTTCTATCAAGTAAATCAAACACCCAAGAAATAAGTCAATAACGAGAAAATATATGTAAGTGTCTATTTATGGCTTTAATAAATTGCGGCCAATATCTGAGAATTTTTTAAATTCGTTTTGTGTGTGTTTTTTTTTATATGTAAAATTGTATTTTTACATGTAAAATTATATAATCAGCAAAAATACAAAATCCAAAGGAGAGAGAGTTGAAGATAACTACCAAAACAGCTATGCAGTTACGTTGCGCTTATCCTGTGACAAAAGACACAGCTTATATCGCGTATGTACATGAAAATAAAAGAAGTTAAACTCACATGTGAATAATATGTTATATTCCTCCTCTCTTGGTACGTTCCGTATTTATTATTTTTACGTCTTTTTTCTTATTGCATTATTTAATTGAAAAACATTTATGCGCGTTAAAATTTATATTACATTTTAATAATTAGAACTTAATGTATTCAAAATTGTTGTTGATTGAACAATTTCGCGAAATGAGGGAAATCCGATCTCGTTCGAATAATGAGAAGCAAATTTCCATGAAATAACAGTTGGAAACATACAATTGTGTTTTTTTTTTTTTTTTTTTTTATCGACTATATAACTAGGATTTAATAACGCGATAATTGATCATCGACTTATTATTAGTGCTTAAGTACTATCTCGGATTTTTACTGTCAGTTATCGAGATACATATATGAAAATAATGCGCAATGTAAAGTGTTAAAGTACCTACTGTGTTATATATATAAATACAATAATATCATATATATATATATATAACACTTTTTATATATATGTGAAAGTGTAGATTAAAATATTTCTTTTTGACAAGACTTTTAATCATTCGAATCAGATAAAAGTTTCCCAAATGTTGATGGCTAAACCGGTTATCGGTTTTAAACAGTGTACTTACGTGCGGTTTGGATTTGCGCTTTTTTACAAAAATTAAATAAAATTCTCTTGCGCGTGTGAGAATTGTGTAAAGACGTAACTTGGTCTGAGTATACAATGCTGCACACATGCTTCGCACGACACGCTTTGTGACACTGAAAAATATTGTTACGACAAAAGAAGATCACAGATATACACACACACACACACACACACACACACACACACAGAGATACATACACACGCGCACGTGAAAGAGCGTCTGGCCGCGGATACTTTCTTTCCGGACTGTTGCGCAAAATAACATTTGTGTTTTTGACGTTTTTGTAACCCTAACTATTCTCTTTGTATTTCAAATGTTTTTATAAAAGTATATATATAAACTGTTGAGGTATTGTTTTGGAAGCGTTCAAATTGTGCGTTGTGAAGATGCTTTCACGTCATAAATAGAACAAATATTTTTCGCATTTTCTCTGCTTGTTTACATGTGGCAAAAATTTGAAACGCTAATATTTATGATTTAAAATCTCGCAAAAAGAGAAAATAGTGCAAAACATTTTGTATATTTACGCGATATTTAATGCGCAATGACTCAATTATTTTTTAATTATTTTCTGAGCATACATTTCACTCGTTACGTATCAATTTATACATATCAATCGTTTAAAATATATGTTGTGTGCACTGCTACGCATTTGATAAATTCTCGTATGAGAAAAAAAAAAATTCGAATATCTCACGTTTCATTAAAGAGCGCAGTTTTTTTTTTTCAGCTGTAATTCTAACGAATCTTTTATTACCGTTAGTTAAAGTTGAATTTTTTGTGCGACGTGCGTTACGTGTGTCTGCCGTGGGATAATTCTGATGACATCCGTCTGCTTCGAGAGAAAGATAATCGCGCGTGTACATATCGGATCGTATAAGACGCAGGGAACATAATCTCACCAAGATTAAGTCTCATAATAATTAATCAAGCGCGACTCTTGGAATGAACAAGGTACATACATCACACCGTCCCCCTCTCTTCTCTTCGGTTCGAATGCAATCTTATCGGGGTTCTCGTTTTTCACCGCGAAGAGAAAGATTCCATCGAAATACTGTAGCCCGGAGATGTCGAACCGTAATCTTTCGAACCGGGGAGGTGATCCTTAGGGATTCAAACGCGGTGGTATTGGTGCAATTGTCGTCACCATAGCGAAAGGAAATTCTCCTGAAAATGTTCCCAATATTCCGATCCCACCTTCGGCAATCGCGGCCACCTGATAAAGAGTCTCGGAGCTGATCAACCGTATGATCCGAGAGAGAGAATTGCCGACAGTCTAATAAAATTATTCTGTGTTCTCGACAAAAAAAAAACTATCAACAATTATAACAGCGAAAAACAAATGCTATTGTTGCGAAATTTTTTAACACTTTCCGTCTCTTGAAATATATTTATATGAAAGCTTATTAAAAACGCTTTATATGATAAAAATACAAATATGATAAAAAACTTTACAAATTCAGTAAATTGCATGCTTATTACACATACNCCTGCAATTTATTACTTATTTGGTAAAGTAATAATGCACGTAATAACAGCTCTCGGTGAACACGGCGAGTTGATAAAAAAGAAAAACACTTAACATTGTCTTTTAATGATTTCCTGCGGCTTGAACAACGATAATAATATAGCGTGTTGCACTTTCGTGACCTGCCCTCTAATGCTATCTTATTCTCTGTCGCACGTTCGCGTGACATTGTCGCATAATCTATTAAATATTATCCGGAAGTTGGACGCAAATAATTTGCTTCAAACGCGCGGTAATCTCTAGTAAAAATATTCACTTCGAAAAAGTATAAGAAGGCTCTCTTGCTTCAAGAAGCTGATTTGCTTTGCTTTTCACTGCGGCGTCGTAAAACTTGAATAACTTCACCTTTAAGACGTTTAATTTTATTTTTCATTGAAAGTAGCTTGTTTTTTTTTTTTTTTATTGCGGTGTATTGTAAAAGCAAAAAAACCTTATAAAAGATTCTCTACTAGTCGTTACTTGATTAACTTGTTTCTCTACGTATAAGTTTCTGTACGTTTCGTTAAACTTGTACTTTATTTCCTCGATGTTTATAACAGAGTTAATAGCATTGATTCGTTGATTTGCGGAATAAAAATGAAAAGCATAGAGTGGTTTTTTTTTATCTGCATGTCCCAGAAAGCAATGACAAGGACGAGTAATGGAGTATGGGACAATGAGAATTGAACATTCTGCTTGTCTCCGCGTTGTGGGAGCCTATATCGTTCCCTCCTCTGAAATCGTCAGCTTTTGTTCACTTGCATCAGTCAGCTAACAAGTTTCTACCCTCTTAACCATTCACGTGAGAAATTCAATAAAGTCGTGAAAAAAAGCTCTGACGTAAGCTTTTTCTTAAAATGTAATATACTGTGTGTGTATGTGTTTACAACACGTGATTTAATTTTTTTACTTCCCGAGACTTTGGAATTTTTATTAAATGCTTGTAAATATTATATAATTTTCTATATTAAATCGTGTGTAATGTACAATTTTTCATCCAGAAACATATTGAAAATAAACTTCAAGAATGTTACTAAAATTACAAGCATGCTTTTTTAGCCAGTGGATAAAACATGGCGGGAATGAGACGTGTTGTTATTATTTAATTAAAAAGAGTTTTTTTTGTATGTACGTATAGCACTTTTTTAGTATAATATTATAATTATGATAGTATTTATAATTATATATATAATAGTATTTTTGGTATAATATTATATGTACATATTATATGTATATATTATAATATTATATGTACATATTATATGTATATATTATAATATTATATGTACATATTATATATAACATTAAATAATACATATTAT